TGGGAGAAGCTGCCGTTGATACTCCCTGAGGTCGCAGCAGAGAGGACCTTCTCCGAAAAAAACACGAGAATCGTGGGCGGATCGCGGAACCCTGCAAGTACATCAGTGAGTGCACCGCGGTCATCACAAGCAGCCAGTAGATCTATTAGTTTTTTCTATGCTATTACCCAAGAACAGGTAACCAGGAGTGCTCCCCCCCCCCCCCTCAATCCCAGCGACGCAGTAAACTGTACGTTAACACCAGAAAATATAAAATCAAGTCGCGGCACTCCCAGCTAGGAAGACGAAACAAAGGTAAAAAAGCATGCGAAGAGGTGGTGCAGACCGGAAGGAAATGTGTTATGTAATAGGCAGGGAAAAATAATAGATGAAAAGTCTTAAAGTAGTCATTAGGCTAAGTCAGCTAATGACAGCCCGGTATAACCGGGCAATAAGCTACAACCAGTCAATTCACCGTGTTAGTAAGGGTTATACAGTCAAACAAGTCGGAGGGGGCAATTACCTGGTCATTTTCGTGTTGGGTTTTGAGCCGGATGTCCAGGGAGTCCGCCCAGGCAAGCAGAGCTTGTTGCTGGGAGAACTCCTCAGAGCCAGCGCCGTGAATTTGGGTATATGTGCATGACTTTAACTATATCAGAAATTGATTATGGAGCATGAAGGAGGTCAAATATAAAGTGCGCTGGATATGTGCAGCGAAGAGGATTACGATGTCTTCAAATATGTTGGTTACGTTGTTATGTATTCGCGAAATGCTTGCGGATGATGTTCTTAACGATGGTTTTTGATACAGAGATATCAGTTATTCCTGGAAAATATGAAACCATAATGTCGTTCCACAGCTTAGGACCAAGGCAAGATGCTGTAAATAGTCTATAATTACGATTAGAGAAAGATTGGTCTGAATGTTTTGCTCACCTCATATCCATGTCATTTGATTCGTAGAGCTTGTAAATTGAATCGAACGATGCAGGGAGCTGTAAAGTTGTAAATTTGTGCATCAAAATTAACATTTGGGATTTCGCAATATCCGTTAGTTTCAAAATTTTGCATCGTTTAAAGATTGGCTCCGAGCTTTGTGGAGGATGCGCATTTTCTATAAGACGCACAGCCCCTTTTTTAGCGATGCTTGTGGGTATTATGAGCAGCTGCTATCTCCTAGCTGGGTGCATACATGAAGAGAACGGACCTGTCCATTGCTGCAACCACACCCGGGAAGCCGGCGCACGCTGCAAAGCCTGCGATGGTTTCATGTAGCCGCGCTCCTATTGGCCACGCGATGACGTCACCGCGCGCGGCAGCAACATACTTGCGAAATGTTGTTAGATGATAGTGTGACCCAGATTTTGAAGTTCCAAACTTGTCGCTATCGGAGTGTTGGGGGTACTGGGTCGGCAAAATATTGCAGCGCAGGCATCGCATCTTCCAACGGACCCTTCTGGTTGCCTCTGCGCCGGCCATGATTGTCATAGTAAGGAGCCAGCTTTGCCTAGAGATTTTGAGACGAAAAACGTGTGCGAGATACGAAACTGCGATTTGAAATCTTCGTCATCATGTCCTGGAACCACGTCGTGTACATAATTCTCTGTTTTGTTTAGGCGACGTTGGCGCTTTGGCAGGGCCAGAACCGCTACGTCGGCGAGTGCACCATTGTGTTAGTCACTTTCTTGATCCTGTGACATAAGTAGTTTGTCTGGACAGTATGATTGTGGGAAAGTTTATCTATACCTTGCACGTTTGGGAGTGTAAATATGCTGCATAACCTGACGTCACATGCTTCCATGGATGTTGTTCTGTGTCTGTACGTCTGAATGTAGAACTCTTCCTCATGGGAATCGTCCCATGAGAATTCTCCTTGCACATGTGCTCCGAGCAAAGCTGTATCTCTGCTTGCAACTAAACGCGCCAAAACTCGCTCATCCGTAACAAAATATATGGACGACCTCAATGTACATGCACGATGATCTTAGCTGGCATAAGGCGTTAAGATACCAGTGCCTGTTAAACTTGGTGTCCGTAGGATGATCGATTGTATGTGGTTACGCTCGAGCAACGCTTGAAGTAATGTAACGTCTTTCGGAGTTCAGGGCGATGATCTGCCGTTCTCTGCCTATGATATTCTCGTTAAGGTAGGTCGTCATGATATAGGCAGCTGTTGTGAGAAATACACCTGAACTATTTGTACATGTGTACATCAAAGTGCATTTGACTGTCACGACTCGCCAATATCAACTCTGCTGCGCGTCAAATGCGTTTGTTAGAAAACAGCTGATTTCACTAGTCGCCATGTTTAGGAGTTACTTGAAGTGTTCTCCGTGACGTAGATGACGTAGCTGTGGAAAGTCGTAGGTTATTACTTGAAAAGGTGGAGCATCTGGCAGTATTTCCCCGTGAAGAACGGGGCCCTGTTGTTAAAGGGCCCTGATCCACCCTACCCCATCCGCAAATGCGTCGTAGGCGTTGCTATGCGTTGCTAAGGAAATTACCACGAGTTGCCGCACTTACTTTGAGCGCGTTTCATTTTAACTATCGTACTACCAATAGTCGAAATCCTGTTCTATGATTGGTCGGGCGGCCATGATGGATTCGTGACGTGAAGGGTGTGACGTCACACTTGTCGACTACTGGACTGGCAAAACCTTTTAACATCTCGGTAGTCGGCGGGGCATCCACAAACATGGCGGCGCGCGGGGTAGGCGACATGGCATTAGTGCTTTGGATCTTTTAGTTAATGTGGGGGCTACTAGGGATTTAGCGGGACATTATTTTTTAAGCTTGTGTCTTGATGATAACCTGTCTCTGGATGACTCCTGTTCTCATTGTAACATTTCGCTTGGAAGCAGTTTCAGTCACTGCTGTAAGGACTTTTGGAATGCACATAGATCACAAAAATGTTGTATTTCCTGCCAGCAAAAAACACTTTGTTCACTGCCCTTCAGACCTCCACAGCATTGCAAAATCTACATCATGCTGACCTACAGCGAACACCACAACGAAAATACCATAGACACTGCAACACAGCCAGTGATCATCCAGCAGCACCACCAGCCTTGCTACAGCACCCAAAGCCTTTCCACTAGCTCTTTGCGCACCACAACAGCGGATGGTTCAACGAGTACCGGATTTGTATGCTCCCGCAGTACTCCAGCTCTCAGTCGCATCTCTTCATCGGCATATGCGCCTTCAGTGACCTCATTTTCACCATCCTCCTTCCAAAAGTCATGCTCCTGAAGTGAAATGTTGTGAAGTACACAGGCTGCCACTATGAGCTTCGCAACTTTCTGAACTGACTGAGCTTCCACACAGGAGAGACGCCGAAATCTTGCCTTCAGAATGCCAAAGGTTTTCTCCACAACCACACGTGTGCTTGAGATCAGATAGTTGTACTTCTTTTTCTTTTTCCTATTTTCTGCCAGTTGATTTTCCCGAAATGGTGTCATGAGCCAACTCTGTAGTTCAAAAGCAGAATCACCAACAATGAAACCATTTTGTGGCAGGATTGCATGTCTAGTGATGGGGTCTGCCAGCCTCTTACCCAGGGTACTCTTTCTAAACACACGTGAGTCATGAACTGACCCTGGCCACCCCACACAGATGTCCATGAACTTGTGGGATGAATCACAGAGGGCCATCATATTAACTGAGAAGAAGCCCTTTCTGTTGATGTATGCCTCAGGATGATTATGAGGCTGTAGTATTCCTACATGACACCCATCCAGAGCACCACACATATTGGGGACCCCCTTCAGCGACCTGAACCCCTCCATCACTTGTGCCATGCTTTCCAAAGCAGGTATGTTGATGAACAAATCCCTCATTGTGACCAGGTCTTCAATAACTTCATCCACAAACCTCCAAGCAGTGCATGTTGCCAAACCAAAGAGCATTGCCACTTTTCTGAAGCTGATGATGCTTCCCAGGTACCAAAGAGTGAGGAGTACTTGTTTCTATCTGGGATAAGGTTCCCTCCCCTGTCCAGAGGGATTCTCATCCCTTTCCCCCAAGAGTCCAACAATCCTCCCGACCGTGCCCTTCTTCAATCTGAACTGTTCGGCGTACTGCTCGTCCGTTAGTAGTGGCACTGTTTTTTCATAAAAGTCTTCATTTTTTCCAATCTCCTTCGGTCCCAAACTTCCCTGCGACATGTGGAGTATTATTAGATTGGAAAATTAACACCAGCAGGAACAGGTATGGTCTGCAGACACATGCCAGGAAAGCATCAGGAAGGTATCACCAACAAAAACACGATGTTCAATATTTTAGGCAAAAGCCAATGGACATTCTCATCACCCAATGTTATCATGCAAGCTTGTCCAGAGCAGTAAAAATGCATGGCTTAGAGTTGATCAAATCCTAATTCAAGGGTGCAGTTCCTATTCAGCTGGGGGGAGGGGGGGGGGGGGGTTCAGCCCACCCACCCCCAACTTGGGCTTCATCTCCCCTCAAGTTTGATGTAAAGTGGGAAAGCATTTTCCGAAACTGCACCCCTAGCATTATCATTTATCATGTCTGATGCAACTCACCCATCGAGATCGCGGTAATGGACGACTTCAAGTGGGTCGTCGCCTAATGGAGCCACTGGGGCAATTTCTCTCTGTAATTCGTCAAACGTAAATGCTTCCATTCCCGTGTATGTTTTTGAGGTATGGATGACAAGCACACAAGATCTTTCCCGTTACTTATACCTTCATCTAACAGCTTTTTGACCGCGGTCGCGCTGCCGCCCACTCACAAACTTATTTTTCTTCCCAAATTTGATGGTCACAACTGCGCAGCTAATGTAACGCTCTCCAGTAGTCAGTAGCTGGTATGAAACAGCCTAGCATCCCAGTGGGCGGGACTTGTGTTCGTCTACCAATAACACAGTAGTTGAAATGAAACGCGACCTTTGCCTCTCAGCCAAGTAAGGAACGGGCTTGGGCATGACGTCATAGGTAAGTCGGTAACTACGTCATCCATCGCCTTGGCTTACTCGAAGTAAGGAATGGGCCTCCATTTGGTCACCAAGAACGGGGCTCAGACCACTCGCTGGTACTCCGGAGCCCCTGCAGTCACGTTCGGACAGTGCCCGTATTGTCCGAGGTGGTTAAGAAGATGGGTAAGTTGAAGGTAAGTTTTAGCCGTGTAAGACGCTAGGGATGTCACTTCCGAAAATCGATTAGGAGCTCAGCTGAAAACGTTGAGCTGATGTGCTCCCCAGGCCTGATTTTCCCCCGTGTTTCGGCCACATGAATGTGCTTCCTGGATGTTAGAATTAAAGACAGCATGTTCGTAGACTTAAAATTGCTTTCATCCGGAGATATGACTCCCCCAATTCGAGTCCACATGAAGCAGGGAGTGGGGTGGATTATCGCAACAGATAATGCGCGCAACCACTTCTGTATCTTAACACTTAATGTGTGAAATAGTTAATGTATCACGCTGTGATTATACAGTGAGGCTTGTATGTTGACCATGCAAGTAAGATCTGCCACATCAAATGTCATGTTTAGATGGTGGTTTTAGTTCAGCTTGCTGACTAGCCCTCCACCCTCACCCTACTCCTTTTTGTGGAAAAACTCAAGCTGAAGAGAGACTCATTGTTCAGGATGGCAGGCAAAGCCATTGCCTTTGCTTAATTGGCCCCTGCCCCAATTTATTTATGCCCCTTGCTTGCTATTTTATATTAACTATGAATGTAATAGGACAACTTAAGGTAATAGAACATTAATGGCCATGTAGATGCCAGGCCTCTCCAGGTTTGCATAACCTCTTTCAACCTCTGCAATAAGCTGACAGACTGCTCCACATGGCATAACAAGCTTACAGACTGCTCCACATCACATAACAAGCTGACAGACTGCTGCACAGGGCATAGCAAACTGAATTTTATCTTTCATTGTCCTTTTGATATTGGGACATAATGATGACTGTTGTAACATCCATTGCTTGAGTGCTGTTTTCCAGAAGAGTACCATGCTTAATGTCTGCTGTTTTGTGATCCCTCTTGGCAATGTCCTTAATGCAGCATATTGAATGCTGTATCAAATGCTGGTGGTAGTTCGGGAGTAATGTGCAAAATGTAAGAATTCTTTATTGGTATTGGGGAATTGTTTAGGCCAACAATGAAAATTGTGATAATTTGTATCAATTTTGGGTGAAAAGTCCTAGAATGGGATGCTTATGCTTTGTTTAGGCATCTCGTTCTCACCAGGTATGTCACTGGTCTAAATTTGGTGTGAGGAGGAGTTTCTGGGGAGTGTGTTAGCTAAGCCAAAAGTACTTCTCTTTTGGGTGGGATTTTAATTACCCGGCCTCTTATTCTTCCCCGGTCAAAGTTTATAGGGTGAATCTCATAATACATTTTTCACAACAATAAGTGAATAAGTTGATACCAAAATTATCACCACACATGTTCCAGAGATTTGTGTGATAGTTGTGCTAAGTTAAGTATACACATACAGCAGTGACCGGTGAATGCCTGATGTTTCGCACCAACAATTTGTAACAATTCACTGGGCTTTGCTTGATTTCAGAGCTGCACCAAGAATTACCCAAATTGTGTGGTGACAGAGGTAAGGTAACATCTTTAGCTTCTGAGGTGATTTTGGTTGTGATGCATGGGTTATTGGGATATTTGGCATTTTTTTAAGTTTGATGAAAATGAAATGCATAATGCTGGGCTGAAAATGACCATTGTAGTCAATGTGCCAGAAAACCCCATGAAACCACAAGAACAGTATAATGTATTGCAAGGTCACCCCACAATCCATGTCAACATTCTCATGTGTAATGCCAACTCATAATACAATGTAAAAGGTGGAAATCATCACCAAGGCATCTTTCAATTGCATGACATCAACATGTACAAAGGAAATAGCTTGCTACATATATATATATATATATATGTGTGTGTGTGTGTGTGTGTGTGTGTGTGTGTGTGTGTTGTGTGTGTGTGTGTGTGTGTGTGTCAGGCATTTCCGACAGTTAACAATATACACTGTTGGCAATTAGTGGAGACTGTAGTTAACCATAAGCTCCACAGATGACGCTAGCAGCCGGTAGGTATTGCGGGTATGTGCGACCCAAAGCCTGAGACACGGTCCCTTCTGCCGCTGCGGTAGGGATCTCGGTTGTTAAGGTCTTGAGGCGCTTGCTAGTGTTGAGTCATGTGTTGGCCTCTGAGATGTTGGGCTGCAGGTACTCTGTGTTCTGGGTGGCTATCCCAGGGTTGAGTGTAGTCCCTGAGACTTGAATATGAAATCGCGTTTTTGAGTTTGTCCATTTGAATTGTGAGTACTGGGAAGGGTGCAATTTCTGCTAACCATTTGTGTAGCCGAAACTCGGAAAGATGGCGGAGCAAGCGACGGGTATAATGGCACGGCCGTCGGCGAAGGGTTGGCTGTTGAGTGCAGTCTACAAGCTTCACCAGCTTGGTGAAAGATTCACTAGCTTGGCTGTTCGGTGTCAGTGGTCCCTGGCCCAAAAAGACGCCCTCTGACTGGTGTCTGAGGTCACAGCCCTACTGGGGTGTTCTGAACATAACCTATGGCCGCTCCTTCGGGCCCTTTATCCTTCCTATCGGCCCTCGGTCTTTGGTCCCGAAGAGCCCTTAGACTCCTCTTTAGGCCTCTTCAAGCATAACTCATAAAGTACTTATAGCCACTTGTTAACACATATCCTTTTCCCCTGTTATGTACTGTGGGGTCTGACGAACAGGGCCCCAATCATTGTTTCGGGGACCCACACCAATGCAAATCGTGGGTTCAGGCCTTTTTCCTGCTTGGGAAGTGAACCCCAGAGCTCAGACCGACAGGTAGTGAATTGTTCGGTATTGGTGGTCTCTGGCCGACATAGACGCTCGCCGCATTGTTTCAATGGGTTTTCGATCATGGCAAGAGGCTCACTGATGCCTCAGGTCACGGCCGGGGATCTTTTGTGCGACCTGGATCCAGTCCCTTCAGGCTCCTTTGTGCCCTCCAATTGGGCCCTCATCAAACACTGCCCTTGGTTGACTCAGGATCCTTTGCCAACACAGCGCCCCTGTCAGGCGCTTTGGGCCCGTGACAGCCGCTGGGTGGACCCTCAGGCCCATATCGACATGTAGGGGTCCTCAATTGGTGCAAAGGGCCCTCTGACTGCCACATGAGGGCTCACCCCAGCACGCGTGGCTCCTGAATAAGACAACAGCAAGTCTTTAAGTCCTTATACCCTCCAATCGGCCCTTGATCGTCGGTCCCAGTAAGCCCTCCACACCTTCTTCGGGCTTCCTCGAACACTGTCCCGGCCGATTCTGTCCCGCGCCAAAACAAGGCCCTCTATTAGACACTGAGGACCCATGACAAATGCGAGGGCCCCACCAATGTAAATCGCTTGCCCCGACTTCGTCCTCTCTTGAGAAATGGGCCCTGAGGCCATGCCGACACGAATTAGGCTTTGCGGTATTGGGAGTGTCTTACAGACTTATATGCCCTTACTCAAGTGGCCCCCGATCGGCGCAAAGGTCCTCTGGCTGGCATTGAAGTGTTTGGCCCAGCGGGCTGGGCCCTTGGATATGACCTCTGGTCAGCCTCTCAGATCTGCCAGTGGGCCTTTAATCGTCAGTCCGGAGAGACCCCTGAGGCCCCCCCCCCCCCCCCGGAACCTAATGAGAGAGCACGTGTCCCTTGTCCCCCTGCCTGCGCCATTGGTTGCTAGTGGCAACACCTACTCTGACTGCTCCCCACGTCGATAATGGCTGGTGGCTGAATTGCCGTTTGTCATTCTCGCGGGTGGTAAAATCGGCGCACCCAGAACTAGTCGCTCACCAGCGTGGGTGCGACAACCCAGCGTGTCGCCGCCAGGATGCGCCTTCACCCGGCTGGGCCGCCTGAACATCGACCCGAGCCGGCGACAGATCGATTCATTATCTGCTCGCCGATGTAGCCTTGTTACTGCACGGTGGCCGGTTGGCCTAGACCCCTTGACAATGGAAGCGCACAGTATGCAGACAGCTAGCGTAGAAGGCCAGACGTCAAGGTCATTGTGTGCTCTGCGACTTCCTGGTCGTATATTGCGTTGTCCGTTGACTGTCGTATCGTTCACTCTGTAAGTCGGGACCGGTTGCGTTGGGGTTAGAATTATCTCCGCTCCGCTTCTCCTCAATTGGCATCTCACGGTTCGCAGCAGTGCTACTTATCTCGGCATAATTTTTTAGTGGTCAATTGGACGCAATGTGAGGGCCAAAAAAGACAGGCCTGAATGAGACATTGTTGTCACGTCATTACGATAGGCTGCACAAATATTGCCGTGCGCTGTCAGACGCTTGTGTTTCTGTCCTGCATGCCGGTGTGCGTTTGGGCTATACATTTGTCGTGATGGAGGCGGCTCAACATTGCTAAATGCATCATGAGACCAATGCAGGGGAACATTCAGTTCCATGGCCATTGGACCACGCTCAACGCTCATATCTTTCTGACACATTGCAATCTATGGGTAGCGGCTGACATTGTTTGATAATTTAAATTTCCGCGTCTCGGAACCTAGCAATTAATAAATCGTGACCTGATGTGACCTTGTGTGGTTTTTTATTCGCATGACTTGGTCTGGCCCAAAACTTTCCTGCCGTCAAAATCGTTAAATGGCTCGCTCTCGACACCATTCAACTCTGATTTTGCTTGCGAAAGCGGTTCTGAAGTTATCAAGGACAGACAGAGGGGTCGTGCTTCCTGTAAGCCCCCTCTCTCCCGCCTGATGTCCTGGATTTGGCCACTTCCAACAAGTCTAGGCCTGGATTTAGATCAAGGCTTTTGTTTAAGAATGACGTTTTTATTTTTCATTTTTAGCGCTTCAAGTGGAGAGTATTGATGTTCCGGTGACAAGCTGATGAACTGCAAAGAGGGCCCGAAGTTGTGACGCACGCTTTTTTGTTGTTAGTAGGTGGGTGTGCTGTATTCATGTCCAATGAACGGTCACACTTTCCACTTTGTCGTGATACGTTTCGAGACAAAAAATTCGCTGACATCTTTTTCAAACACGCTCTGGTGGCAGCTTGAATAAGATGCCCTCTGGTAGCCGATCAACCCCCTGAGATACTAAAAATTAGTGAACATAGCAACACCAATATGTTAGGCAAGACCTCATGTGAACTCGCTCGTGAAAATATTTTAGACCTTTAGATCGGGACGTTCGGGTTCACTGATGTCTCGCAATGTCAAACTTGAAACAAGTACCTGCAATGACGCTGGGCATCCTCCTGTAACGAACAGCCCTGCAACCAACGTACCCTCTCCAAGAAAATTAGTAGGTATACGATGTGACCGACGGGTAGCATACTGAGTGCACATAAAAACCTCCGCGACGATTGTTTAAAATCGTCCATGTAATCGTAGAAAATGGTAACATCGTCCTTGCCTGGTAGAAGCGCACAAGCCCCCATTAGCATTGTGAAGCATTCACATGAAACTTCTGCTGTATTCACGCATTCTCATGAATACAGCACAGAGGGTCTGGATGCCCTAACGTCCAAACCTTTCATATTCAGTCATGTGAAATAGATCACGTGGTATAGATTGTAGCGTCCTGTATGCGCGAGCCAGGAGAATTGATTTGGCCGCTACCGATCGTTTTTCTTTGTTCGAAACGATGCGATGTTGTTTAATACAACGGCGGTGCGTCCTACCATTATTCAAAGGCGACAATTGATGCAAGGCGCAGGAATCACCGGTCGCGTCCCACAATCAATCGCCGGTCCCGTGGAATAGGTTTGTCTGTGTTGCGGAAACCGCAGGCGAATATCAGGTATAGTCACGAGCATTCACATGATAGTCTTCTGGTCGAGGATGAGGAGGCCCCACTAGCATTGCGAAGGCAGATGTCGCGCAGAAACACGCGTCGGTCGGTCGGCCTTCCGAGCTTAAAGCCATCATCACAACTCTGTTATAAAAGTTGACGCTAGCGATCTTCATTTGCCTCTTTCCGACACCATGAGCAGCCTCCTGACTGTTCGTGGCTTCTCCACGTCGAATCTACTGGTCCAGGACATTTAGACGTGTCTTACCCCGCTGGATGGATCAGGAAAAACGGCCTTCTGTGTTGCATCCCAAGTCCGCGGGGATGTAAGGAAAAGGTCTTGCTGACGCGGCAACAAATTGAGCTACGACTGGGACACGCATTCCTGTAATACCACAACCAACTTAGGACACGTACGCCGTAGCGTCGTCTCTTATGCAGGAGCGATGGCGGCGCACCACTGGGACTCGCTGAGCGCCAACAAGCTGAAGTCAGTGATACCCCGTATCGGACTGTGGCATTCGTGCCTCCGCAACAATGGGAGGGAGGAACTTTCCCTATGCCGAAACGCATAGGACACACATGCTTCACACCGCCATAGCATTGGCTAGCGACAGACCGCCCCGCGGTTGATGCTGTGACCCGCTGACTGCGCATCACGTGCCTGTCGGTTGCCGCCACCTGGCTGCCACACAAGTGCAGATTGTTGACACCATGCCCAGAGTCCCGCACTATTTTACTTTTTAGGAGATTATTCGCAAGCTATCACCGAAATTACCTCGGCAACAGCACCATTGCACAAAAC